CCTGCCTTCTTTCGCTCTTCTCTTGTGTTTACATCAGGGAATTCTAACAGCCACGACACACCGGTAGTAAAAACGTAACAAACATCAGGCGTAAAAGCCAAACCACCAATCCGCAAGTTCATCATACTTTTGGTTCATTTCCGTTTTGCTACTGAACGACTTCCAACTTAAATCTCCAAAGGTTGGGGTTTATGAAGTAAATGTCACACGCCAACAAGTTTCTCTTAAATGAGATATATAAAGTTTCTCTTGTTTTTTAGTTTGGATTTGAATACGTTTGGCCCTTAGCAACATGCATCACGAGGTTAAAATGTACTTAATTTTTTGCAAAGTCTTATGCACATCATCTTCAGACACTAGGGGATGAAGTACTGTTCGTAATGATCGTAATTTAACCGCCTCCCGGTTAGCTCAATGAATAGAGCGCTGGATTGATGTGCGGGAGGTCGAGGGTTCGAGCCCCGGCCGGACCAACACTCAAGGTCTTAAAATAATTGAGAAGAATATGCTGTCTTTCTATAACATCAAGAAATGGTTTAGATATTCTAGTCTTCTCGGATAGGGATGAATAAATGGAGGTCCCGTCTCCTGCAGGGTTAGGGGTAGGGGACGTTAAAATCCCACGCACGACATTACTGTGTGATGGATGTCCTCCCCTGCGGTGGGATGGATGGGTTGTTTCATACATGAGCCTCTGGCTCGGGCAATATGGGTAACCATGCCCCACGTAAAGACATTAAACTTTGATTGCTGATTACTGATTGCTTACTGATCGTTTCCGAGCGGTCAAAATTAGAACTGCTGCTCTTGTTTCAATTGGTTCATTATCAGTTACCCTGAGCATGCGTTTAGAAAGTTCTTCGGGTGAGATCGTGGGATGGTTGACGCTGAAGAACACCATGTTGGTTTCCATGCTATTAACATCTACATCCAGTTCAAGATTTTTCATGTCTTGAATTCCTGTAGAAATAAAGATGACTAGCATGGTAAATCTGAACTGACTGTTTGCGAAAGCTTCTTTAGAAAAAGCCTCAAAGCCAAGTGAACACAAGGCTCTCTATGTCCTCGAAATGTCTTAATCGTGTCTCTAAATGAAGAAATTTTAGAAAGGGATGAGGTACAAGAAAAACATTGGCAAAAATAAATATAAGGGAGAAGCCTGTAAGGAAAAAAATTATGCAAATCGAAAGTGAAGAGAAAAATATCCCAGATTCCGAAGAATTCCAATTCAGCAAACTCAATAGAAAAACCTAATAACTATATTTGGCTGGGGGCAAGGAGAGAGAAGGTCTACCTTGCAGCTAAAAGTTAAAAATTTCCTGGAAGTTAAGAAGGGGAAGAAATAACTTATTTCGTTCAGCTTGTTGCCTAAGGGGGGGCGGGGGGGGGGCAGGAGGGTTTCACATGGGAATCCACCCTTGAGTATAGTATGTAAGAATAATTAAGTTCAATTAAAACTGTTAAAAAAAAACTTTCAAAGAATAATTAAGTTAAATTAAAACTGTTAAAAAAAAACTTTCAAAGAAAATAATGGAATTTGGAGAGGAGGTTGGTTTGCTTGATTTTTGGCCATTATGGGAGGATGTGTGATGTGAGACTTACATGGCTAGAAATTTATCTCAGGAGCTTTGGAAGATGAACTACAATACTGACCTTTCGCTAAAATCTGTGCATTAGCATGGTCTATAATCAGTTTTGGTGCTATGTTATCCAATGCATAAATCCCTGCGGCTGCCAAAACACCAGCTTGTCGCATTCCACCCCCAAGAACTTTCCTGTGATGCAAGCACCTGAAAATGGAATTTTGTAACTTAGAATACTGTTTGTGTGTTTGTGTGTTTTTTTTTACTTTATAGCATGAAATGCAATCAGTACAAACAAAAGTTCCAACAACATTCAAGGCCAACTCTTCCAATCATCTTGGGCACCACATTCCTAAATTACTGAACACAGTTGAGGATGAAAAAAAAAAAAAGAAAAATTATTTCCTTTTTGCCACCTATAGAATAGAAACATATTTTAAGTTTAAGAGATTGACTGCAATTCAAGGCCATCACTAATTCCTGATTGTTCATCAAATTCTTAACTTCTTCTTCAGTTTTACTCAGGGCATCAGTATAAAGCAATTTGGATGGGGACATAACCAGTTTGACCGAAGTAGTTTATTAAAAGGAAGCTCTGGGCTGCTAAGTACAATATAATGTACTCAACTTCATCTTGCACTGGGAATTTTTCTTTTAAGTGCATCTCTGCTTTGTTTCAAGTTCAGTCATTATAATCAGGTTTGATTCCTTACCTTGAAATAAAATCTTTATCTCCAGTTATTACTGAGCCAACAGGAGCACCCAACCCCTACATGAAAATGTAAAAAAGAATAAAAAAAAAAGCCCTTCATTCCATGAACGTTAAAACTCCCATATGTGATTGACATGTAATACCTCCTTGCAATTGCAAAATGTGGTTGTACAAAAGGCGATGAGAACAGACCATCATATTGAATAGGAGGTGTTACTCAGAATTCATCTGCGTTAGACAAAATTCTCCTGTCTAAGTTACCTGGGAGTTTATATTATGGCAGAAAGCTAGAAATTTCCAATTATTTGAAGATACAAAACAATGATGGTAAACCATTGTGAAATGATGCAGAAAATTTTAGTTGAAAAGGTTTATTAGTGACAGCTTAAATCCTACTTTTTTTTGTCACCACAATCAAGGTAAAAAGGTTGAAATCTTAACCCTGATAATATACCTTTTGTAAATAATCCACTGGAAACATCTTGCCTCCACTTGCATTATGTGTCTGTTCAACACAAATCAAACGGCTGAATGGCTGCTTAGCATCTCCCAGTGAACGCACTTTTTCCTCTACATCCGACAAGTCTAATGTGCTATCGATATTAGTGTGCACCTGCCGTGAGTGTACACCAGCCAATTGTGCAACTCCACCTTGCTCCCATAATATGATGTGAGCTGAGTCACCAACAAGTATTTCATCTCCTCGACCAGGACAGTGTCCCATTACTGAAAGATGAGGTTAGGATATGATTGTTATCGATAATGATAAAAATAATATTATCATACAGGTAGCGATTAACAGTTAACAAATTTGCCTGGGGAATGTGACACTTCAGCATTGAAAGTACACAATCATCCCTTTGGCTATATTGGTTTTTGTCAAGCTCTTTCTCTTGTTTTTATTTGCTTTAAAAAAGAAGAACTTAAGGGAGAGGTCTGTCTAATGTCAAAAGCCTTGAATAATACATGTATATCATACAAAGTTACCAAAGCTACAAAACTGTTTGCCAGCATAAATTCAATTCCTAACAGGTCTGCTCCATATGAAAATAAATAAAAACGCAAGCAATGGTAAAAT